ACCAGGGACACTGATTTCCTGTAACACTCAGGGCTACACTAAAACCAAATCCTGCTGTTGACTTGATCCTGAGTCAGTGGTCCTATAGGACAGAACAAAACTGCCCCAGGAGAGTTTCCAAGACTGTAAGTCTTCACAGAAGCAGAATGCCACATCTTTCTCCTGTGGAGCGGCAAGTGGATTCGAACCAGTGACCTTTTGGTTAGCAGCTGAGTGCTTAATCATTCAGCCACCAGGGCTGCTATGCTTATGGGAGTCCCAATCAACTTTCAAGTGTCCTGCCAAAATTCATGTGAGTGAGAAACTTGCTTACAACATGTGCATTGAGCCTATTCCATTTATTTATAAAGTTTTTTTGGGAACAATGTTGGTATTCCCTGACTTTTCTAAAAGGCCTGGTGACGTAGTGATTATGAGTTGTGTTTCGATCTGCAAGATCTGCAGTTTGAAACCACCATTCTCAGAGGCAATTCTCATATAGATAGAAGAAATATACTGTTTTATTTGGGATTTTCCCCAGGGTTACAGACAGCACACCAACAGAAATGCCACTCTGGGTATTTGAAACATGACTAGGACACACTTGTACTTTGCAAGTGCAGCCGTCTATCCTGCTGGGCACGGAGGCTCTGCTCCCGTAACGGCGTACAGTCGTGAAACCCTAGACAGGGTCACTGTGAATTGGGACAACTTGAAGACAGTGGATTGCTTGGTTGGCTTTTGGCTGTCATGTTAAAGAAGTAGTTCTCTCTGGAATGAAAATAATAATATCGAAAGTTTTGTTTGGCATTGGCTGAAACAAACATTGTGTTTTCTTCTATTAATCTACTATTGTCATGAATTATATTAATATCTATTTCCTAATACTGCTCAGATAGTATTCTTCTTTAAGGCACTGCTGGATTGAAAATGCTAATACTTAGTATATCTATTTAATATGTGAGGTTGTGCTACAATTTTTTGGTCCTAATTCTAAATAAGGATTTCGCTTTCTTCAATAAATGAGAAGTATGTTCTTCTTTGAATGCTCAAGTAACTCATGGATTCCTTGAAGGTTTGATAAAACTCACCTGTGCAAACCACCTGGTGAAGGGACAGTTGTTTGATTACTTTTATTTCCTCTGTGGTTATTGCTCTACTCAGGCTTTCTTCTTCAGTCAACTGTGATAATTTATATTTGCCTATAAAATGATCCACTGAATCAAGATGTTCAATTTATTATCACAGAGTAAAACCAGAAGTAAAAAAAAAAAAAACCTCTTCAGTATGCCTATATTTTCATTTTTATTTCTAAATGTCAATATTCTTTTATTACTTTTGCTAGAAGCCTATTTTATTGGTCTCTACGTAATCTATGGATTTATCAATTCTGCTATTTGGGATGCATTTATACATTTACCTATCAACTTTGTATGGTATCAAACTTCATATTTTAGCTACTTAGGGTGAACTAAAATATCAACTTCATATTTTAGCTACTTAGGGTGAATGCTTACGTCCTGTACAGTATTGGTACTCTAATTTTTTTTTTTACTAAGAGCAATTAAATTATTGTTTTTCTGTTGTGTGTAACTTTGGCTTCACACCAGCAAAGTTTTTTTCCTTTAATTTCCAGAAATTTTTATATATGCTATTCTCATTACGAAAGCTTTCTAAATATCCACAAATACCTTTCCCATTTTAACCCAATGTTAAGAAGTCTGCCCCAGAGAAGCTTTAAAAAACAAAACAAAAACTTTATTAACTTCTGGTTTTATACAAAA